TGTGTGTGTGTGTGTGTGTGTGTGTGTGTGTGTGTGTTGTCCTTTACAGAGTGAGGCCCTTTCTCGCAGCCTGCCTGGAGAGCAGGAGTGGGAGCGCAGGCTGGCTTCCCTCCCCGGAGGGCTCGCTGCTGCTCCATTGACGTTGGCGCCCGCTCAACCCCATGACTGGCAGCCTCTCGGAGTGCCCGAACAAGGGGCCCTTTCACCTCCGAGCCCCTGACTGGCATCCCTCTGTCCCAGCCGGCCGGCCGGCCACCTCTGCGCTGGGTGGGTGGAGGGGAATCCACAGGAGTCGCCCTTGGGGTCTTGACTGCTCCCTCGCTCACCATGTGGGACCCTCCTTCTAGGAGCCCCCAGGTGGGGGGGCGGCGGCGGGTGCTTTTACCTTGCAACCACAGAGCAGCTTTGCACGCGCACACAAACACACACACACAAAGAGCGTCTGGCAGGACCGTGCCGCGTCACAGTCTCCTCCCGGTTTCCCAGGTCTCCTCCTGGCGCTACCTTTTCTGAAACGGTCGATGCCAAAGGGACATAAAGAAAGGCACAGAAAGGAAGACGGAAGGGCTTTTCCACGTATCAGGAATTGGGGTGTGCGTGCAGGGGGGGAGGCCAGAACTGACAGTCTTGGCCAGGAAGGAAAGCTGACCAGCCCCTCCTGCCTGTTGGGGGGGTGGTGGTTTCAAGGCAGGGACCACGGGGGGGGGGAAGTGTCCACAGGCGCCAGGGGCGCACAAGGAGGGCCCGGAGAGCTGCTTCAGGAGCCCACGTGAGTCAGTGTTCTCTCACCCCAAGAGACTTGCAAGGTGGGGGGAAGCCCCCTCAGGGGTTGCCATGGAGACCACCCACAAATAAGAGCAGTTCATCCCAGCAGCTGCATGGCAGATTCCCCCCACCCCATCTCATTTCCCACCACCCCGCTTCCTGTCAGCAGTAACTCCATATATTACGTAAGCCTTGCAGTTCAAAGCAGAAGGTCCCCAAAGCCTCTCAGGCTGGAGGGTGTATGGTTAAACTGGCATCTCACTGGGAGGAACTGGGAAGGCGGAGAGTTGCAGCAGAGGTGGCCCAGGGCAAATAATTATCATCTCTGAACAGCTGGGCTGGAAGGGGGCCTGCAGGTCATCCAGTCCATCCCCTCTCATGGAGGCTCAGCGGGGAATCGAACTCCCAACCTCTGGCTCTGCAGCCAGACGCGGCCAAGGCGGGAGGCTTTCTGCTTTCGGGCAGGGGAGCGGCAAGCTCTCATCCCACAGCCTGCTTCATTTCCCGGGCAAAACGCCTCGGAAAGGAGGCAGGGGGGCAGCAGGGCATCGGGGGGGTGGGTCCTGCTGCTTTCATTCTTTAAAGGCTCCCTTCTGAGTTCTGGTTGCTCTGCTTCCAGGGAGCAGCTGCGAGTGCCTCTGAAAGAGACCCCCCCCGTACACTCCTGTGGGCCCTACAAAGGTGTTGGGGGGGGGAAGGCAGGCTCTGAGTGAGCAACCAAGAGTCATAAGCCTTGCAAAAGACCTGTTCCTGAAAGACCTGAGAACTCTCTTAAAGAGCTTGGTGGGTGCCTGCATTTTTTTGCATGCAAACACACACCCACACCCGGAACAGCTTGGTGGGCCACCCAATGATGCCTGGAAGCATAGAGGGGATGACGTTGCCCACACTCCCCTTTGAGCTGCACCAGTGGATCAGCCGCCTGCTCTGCTCTCCATCAGTCTAAGAAAAAGGGAGCTCCCCTTACCTTGGGGTGGTGGAGAGCAGTGTGTGGGGGAAACGAGCCCACCCGAGGCGCCTCTAAGGGGTTGCTGAAGGAGGAGGACTGAAGTGGCCCATCATTCTTCCTGGGGAGGGAAAAAAAAAGAAGAAGTTATATTTTGAGAGAGAGAGAGAGAGAGAGATCTATCCAAGACGCATCCAGGAAGGTGGTGCCGGGTGCAGGTAAATAAGGCAGAGCCATAAAATGCAAAAGCACTGCTTTCTTTCAAAGGCAGGATCAGAAAACGCCAAATCACTTAAGATTAGGAATTCAGTATGTCTGATCTACCAGATATCTCTGGACTCTAGGTTCCATCTTCCCCCACCACAGGTGAAGCTGACCAGGCTCAATGGGAGCTGTGGTCCACAGGCCCACCAGCACCCTACTTTTAACACACACACACGTAGCAGTTTCCTTTTAAGAAAATAACTCTCCAAATTCTTCAAGGTAAAGCTACAAGGTCTTTAAAAAATAGACTAGACAGGATGCTGGACATGGTAGTCTGCCAAAGTCATTTTTCTGGACGATCGGATGCTCGTAGGGGATAGTTTACTTCTTATTTTTATTTACTCAAGCATTTATTTCCTGCCCCACACCAAAATGTTGCCAAAGGTGAGACATAACAAGCTGCAAAATGATGTTAGAACAATGGTAACAGTTTCAAGCAAAAGTAAAAGAAACAGAACAGAACAGAAAACAAAAACAAAAAAAGGCAAAAACAGGTGGCAACTTAAAGACAAACAATTCTATTTTAACCAGACTGGTCGGCATGAACTACAACTCCCATCCTATGCTGGCTGATGGATTATGAGATTTGTAGCCCAAATGGCCTGGCCTTTCAAGGCCCGTCTGCAACCGGCAAATGGCTGCTGTCCTTCCCTGCTGAAATCGGGGCCCTTCGTGCCACCTGGGGGTCCCCCAGCGGATGGGCCGAAGGGTCCCCAAAGAGGGGAGGCAGCACGCCCCCCCGGACCCGAAGAAGGCCACAGAGGCTGAGCGAAAGGAGGTGAGGGCAGCCGCTGGCGAGCCTCACGGAGAAGCAGGCGACTAACAAGCGACTTGGCCACTGTTGTCTCAAAGGGGAGAGTCTGAAAAGTGCAGAAGGGGGGGGCGTCTTCAGCTCATGGGGAGAAAGGCAGGACAGAAAAGGGAAGAAGCCTATAAAATAAATTGGGGGGGGGGATGACAGGGAGGAAGAAGGACCACCTGTGGTCATTTTCAGGCGTAAGCTTGCCAGGCCGCAGCTCACTGGGGGCGCTGAGCGCAGCCGTGGCTTACGTGGCAGAGACACCCCCCTCCCCAGGAAAACTGGATGCTCTCTAAACAGTTTCCATAGCAATGGGAGAGAGGAGAGAGAAGGACATGTTTACGGAGGCTTTGACTCAACGTAATTGATTGGCAATTAACAGCAAGAGTCCAGTGGTGGGCGTGGGGCGCCTGCTGCTGGCGCCCGGGAAGGGGAAAGAGTCCTCTTTCCTCCTGCCCAGGGGCCACTCCGCTCTGGCGCAGACGCCAGGCTCCTCTCACCCCCCCCACTGGTCAGGTCAGGGGCCACAGACCGATGCCCCCTCAGTGCCCTCTGCTGACCACCCCCAACCATCCACTGACCCAGAGAGCTGGGAAATAGAGAGCAATATAGATATTTATTTATTGTATTTATATCCCGCCTATCTAGTCAATTATGACCACTCAGGCCATATTTCAAGCCATCGTCTAACCCAGAGGCGGCTAAACGTCATCAGGCGATGTTGTTTACTCTTCATGGGCCTAGCCAGCCTCCGAGGCCTGGGCTGATGACCTCGGAGGACCTAAGCTCCTTCTACGACTGCATTTTGCACGCCTCTCCCCCTTCCCTGCGGGTTCCTCAAAAGGCTTTAACGTTCAGAACCGGAAAGGGGCATCTGATCTACGGAGACGGGAAGGCACAGATAAAGCACAGCATGGTCTACTCGTTTGTTCCCTGCTCTCAGGGTGCTAAATGACAGCCCACAAAGCGAATGAGTGCCCTGGCAGGAGAAAAGCAGGATGACAGATAGGACCCCCCCCCTTTCACCCCTGAAATCACTGGTAACTGAGGGGCAGGAAAGGATTTGCCCCACCTGGGAGAAAAAGGGTGGCGCTGAAAACCCAGAAGGAAGGCCCCGATCAAAGCCTGAAGACGACCCCAAAGAAGAAGGGAGGAGGGGGAAGAGGAAGCCCAGTTGATTTCATGGCACCAGTTTAAAACTCTGCATCAATCGAGTTCATGAACAGGCTGCGAGAGATGCAAAACTCCAGGCAAATAGGGAGCTCCTTCTGCAAAAGGACATCCAGGCAGCGGCGGCCGGCGAAGGTTCGTCCCGGAACACAAACGCAGAGTCTTCGGCATCCAGGCAGCGGCGGCCGGCGAAAGTTCGTCCCAGAACACAAACGCAGAGTCTTCTACTTGGTTATATATATATATATAACCAAGCAGACGACTCTGTTGGTTGTTGTGGGTTTTTCGGGCTCTTTGGCCGTGTCCTGAAGGTTGTTCTTCTTAACGTTTCCCCAATCTCTGTAGCCGGCTTCTTCAGAGGACAGCACAGAGGACATCCAGAGCACAGAGTGCTGTCCTCTGAAGATGCCCATGGCCACAGAGACTGGCGAAACGTTAGGAAGAACAACCTTCAGAACACGGCCAAAGAGCCCGAAAAACCCACAACAACCATTAGATCCCAGCCATGAAAGCCTTCGCGAATACACAGAAGACTCTGTGCTATGCTATGCTAGAAATATATCTATAATGTATGTTTCTAGCGTAGCATAGCACAGAGTCTCCTGCTTGGTGTGCAAACGCCTGCAGCTCTCAGCTCCGTCCTTGCACACCGGAACTGGATGATCCCTTTTCTTTCTTTTAAAATCTCAATGCGCTTTTGTTCTCCGCCCCAACTAAATTTCTGCTGACTCTGGAGAGCACTTTGTGCACCTGCTGAGGTAGACAAAAGGAAAAGAAAATTCACAAGAAAGCTTCCGCCCTCATCCCTCCTCCGCTCGCCTGCCAGGGCCCCTGCCTAAGACACTTATTTAAAGGGAGAGAGAGAGAGAGAGAGAAAGTGGGGTGGGTGGGATTGAAAGGGAAATGGCTATGACCTGCTGTTCCCAAGGGAGCCACCAGGTGGCGAGGGGGCACCCTCCATTCAGACCCACAAGAGAAGAATGGAAAAGAAAACAAACAAACAAACAAACAAACGGGTTTTTAAGCCCAACCTGCCCCACAGAGCCACCAAACAATCAACCCCCTCCTCGCGCCCAAATCCTCTTCCAAAAGCAAAACAGAAAACTTCAGGCGTCCTGGCATGGAACCCCAGTGCATGCGTTTTTTTTTATTAAAAAATTGCTTCAAAGCCCGTTCTTTGCTGGAGTGCAGCCGGCAGCTTCATTACCTGCCTTGAATTTTAAAAAGAAAGAGGGGGAACGGACTGCTCCTCGGACCGCAGAGGGGCCCAACTACAACCCCCTTCAACCCACAGGCACGTGGGGCTGTCCTCAGGAGCATTCCTTCTCCCCCCCCTCCCCGGAACAGAATTCCCAGTTTAAAAAGAAAGAAGGAAGAAAGAAGGGGGGAAAAAAGATTTAGCAATTTAGGTTTCTGTTTTTTAAAAAAATGAACTTGTGCAAAGGAGGATTCCCCCACGTGTCAGAGGTATAAGGCTGGGCGTAGGCCGCGAAGGTTTGCACCCAATAAAATGTAGCTGCCTCTCAGGTATCACAGAACCCTTCCTCGTTTTCACTCCAACACGACTCTAGTACAGGAATCAGAAAAATAAACATAGAGGGTCAGGAACTCTGAGGGGCTTAAGCAGACACCAGATAATTTAAAGGTGCATCTTTCTCCCCCCCACCCCACGGCTGCTGATTTCTTACCAAAAGATGGCCAGCCAGCTGTACAAAGTAAAATAACCAAGCCAGACCTGCATTGTCTATATATATATTTTTAAAAAATCCCCATCCGTTTGCTCACTTTGTCCACCAACGCTCCTCCCAACCTGCGACACACCACACAAGCTCAGTCAGCCCCAGAGAAGCGAAACCACGGACTTTTCCAAAACCAAATCCTTCACAGGCATGTGCATGCGTGCGCGCGAGAAAGAGAGAGAGACAGAGAGAGAGAGCACTGTACCCCTGGGACGTGTTCCCCAGGGCCTCCCCAGCAAAGATCCCCCGAACACCCTTTCCAGAGGGGGAACCCAACAGGCATGTGCATGCGCGCGAGAGAAAGAGAGAGAGACAGAGAGAGAGCACTGTACCCCTGGGACATGTTCCCCAGGGCCTCCGCAGCAAAGACCCCCCGAACACCCTTTCCGGAGGGGGAACCCAGCAGCCCCCCCCCAGGCGGTCTCTACCTTTCCTCCTTCTTCCTCCTCTTCCGGGTTCGGTACAGCAAGCCGACCACCAAGGCCAGGGCTCGGAGGGTGGCTCCTTTGGAGGGCATGGCGGCTCCGAGGGCG